AAAAAAAAATGTTATTTATCCTTTTTTACAATGATTCAATTCTTTAATTTCTCTTATTCTTAATTAAAAAAGATATTAAAAACAACAAAAACAATATTTGATTATTCTTCAATACATATTGAATTTAGACTCAATCTAGAACTTTGAGGAGGTATATTATGAGGAATATGTATTTGTGTTTTTGGTGGAGATTGAAGAGACGTATTATCTCCACTTGCCCATTCAGCAGAATCAAAATATTTTCTTTCTTTCAAAGATTTTTTACGAGCATTTAAAGTACCATAAGAATGAGAAGACTTTCTATCAGACATTAATGAATGAATTATTTTAAGATGAGATTAAATGGTCATTTTTCAATTGAGAGATTTGCAAGAGATTGAAAGTTCCTCTTTCATAATCTTTTTCAATTTTAGAGCTAACAATTTTTATTCAATAATTCTAAGAAATTTGATTTTTGTTTCTTTTAATTCATTTGAATTTACTGTCGTCATAACCATATTCTTATTTTCATTTTTTTTTATAAACACCCAGAATTAGTAATTTGTTTTCTTATTCTAATACTTCTACTTATATTAATCATAATGAGGTATGGAACTAATGAACAAAATCAATTAATTTCATTTTCTTTAATAAAATTAGAGTATTAAATGTTATTTTTACTTTATTAGAATAAAGATTTTCAATAAGAATTAATATTGAGATAAATGTTGTTTGAATATATTTTCATGCATTTTCAAATTTAAAAATACATATCCTAAATGTATTTTTACATCAAAATAGTGTTTTTTTTATGGATTACAAACGATGATTAGATTATAACATTAACATAATTCATAATAAAAAAAAATTTGATACTTCAAAAAGAAAATTTGAATTAATAAGAATAATCTAATTTAGTTATTAATATAATGAATAACAATTATAAACTAGTACTTTTACCTATTTTTAAAGAAAAAAAAATAAATATTAAAACTATAAAAATTAGTATTGATAATTTTGAGTGAATGATTCACTGGAATTTCACTCATATCTTCACATTACTTTCTGTTCTTACATTTTCTGAAATTATTTTCATAGAATCATATTTTCCTAATGCATTTCATAAAACATATAAACCATTAGAAATTATATCAATAGCAATGGAAAATGAAATGTGTGAACATCATTGTCCATTTCAACCTGCAATTTGTTATTTATTAGGATATCTAGATACAATAGTTGATAATTATTGGATTACAATTATTTGTTTAACATTAATAGGAAAAATATTAAATCAATTACCTCAAGATAAATTCATTATTTGGGTTGTTATTCATATTATTTCATTAATTATTTTTGGGATTGTTATATTTTCATTATTTAATGTTGCATTAACAACACAATGGATTTGTAATATAGTACAATATGTAATGAAACAAATTTTTATTAATGGGAAAAGTAATTATTTATTTTGGAATAAAATAATAGAAGGATTTAATGAAAGTTTAATTAAATCAAAATTTGAAGGTATTTTTGATTTTTTTTATGATGTGATAACTGTTGTTGGTTTAGATAAACCAATTATTTATATTATTTGTGGTTTATCAATGTTATTTAGAAGGTCATATACATTTACAAAACAAATTATATTACCTATTATTATTTTTATAGTATCATGTACTACTTTCTCTTATTTATTGACTAATGGTTTCTTGTATGCTTTATTTGTTAGTTTGATTACATTTGTATTGTTATCAATATTTGTTAGAATATTTTTATTGTCAGCACTATATTTCTTTTTCCCTTTATTTATGTATTCTGCATTTAGTACATCATGTAGAGTTATTCCAATTCTTGAATTATTTAATGTAAATTATGACTTGATTAATATTGTTACTTTATTAGTTTTTATATGGTTAATGACTTGGATGTATTGTTGGGCAAATTCAAGAGTAAATTTAACTTCAGTTGTTGTAATTTTTATAGGAATATCAAGGATGTTTGATTGTTCAATAGAATATTTAGTATTTTTATTTATGCTAACAGAGTTATTCACCCATCAAATTAACGCTTCAATTTGAGATGATTGTTTAATTGAATTAATAAAAGAAAATGACATATTCATTATAGATTTTTTTTCTATAATTGAATGAATGGAAACTTCAAAAACATCAAATCTTAAAAATTTATTTAATTGAATAATGTCAGGACGGTTAGTTCTTTTTTATCTTTATTTATAAAATTAAACTCATTTTGGTTTACTCAACTTTCAGTGATGCTCGTTTTCAAGCTATTAATAGTGACCTTGAAGAAACACAAGGATTAATGCAACAAAATATTCAAGATATGACAAGAAATATTGCTACTGCTGAAGAACTTGAAGGACAAACTGGAGATATGGTTGGTCATGCTAATGATTTTAGAAAAGCATCTACTGATTTAAAGAGAACAATGTGGTGGAAAAATATGAAATTATGGCTCATAATTGGAGGTGTTGTTGCTGTTATTGTTATTGTGACCATCATTATTATTATTATCATTGCTAAGTCAGGTTCTAATTAAATGATAATCATTTAAATTAATTTTATGTTTTACTATCATCATCATCACCACTTTTTGATGATACGTCTTGTCTTAGTCTTGATTTCTTTTTACCTGTTAATGGAAGATTAAATGTTGTTGGAAGTGGACCTTGTGCAGCAGTTTCAGGAAGAATAGTTGGTAAATTATCAATCTTCTTATAACTATCAATATCATTTTTGTTTACAACTTTAACTTTCTTTTTTTGTTCTTTTTTTAGTGTTTGGCTTTCTTCTTGTGATGTAATTGGTTGAGATAATTGAGATTGACTTTGTTTTGTTGTATTTTGTGAT